AGCGCCGCCCAGCTCGCGAGCACGCACAGCCGCCGCGGCTCCGGGCAGGCGCGCGTCCGCATGTCGGCTCTGGTGTGAGCCTTCGCGCGCCGAGCGGCGGCACTTAAATGCTGCGCGCGTGCGCGGCGGACCTTCGCGCGCCCGCCAGAACGAGAATTTGCATTTGCGGATTCGGTCGCTCGAGTCGGTCGCGTCGTGAATGTTCCTGACCCTCGTATGCCCCCCCCCCTTAAGTACACCTACATCATAGTGTGCTATTTTTGTTTTCTATTCAGGGGTGTAACCATGCACGTGCACGCGCTCTCGTCCGACTGTTGACGCACAGGGCGGCGCGGCGAAAGACAAAGTGCGGCCACGCAGGCGCGTCTGGACGCCGGCGATAAGCGCCGTAAAACGCCGTCAATCTCCGCTGCGCTTGCGGCGTGACAGCGGCTCGTTGTGTCGCGTCCACACAAGCTCGCGTGATTTGCGAGACACCCCGCAGCAATTAACCCCCCCGCCCCTCCCATGTCACGGTGGCCTGCCGCTGGACTCTCAGGCGCTGAATTGATTTCCTCGGCAACAAAAGCTGCCGGCCAACAGCCGTGACCTTGGCCGTCACGTCTGGGGGGGTCTTCGCTTGGTCGCATCACTTGGTCGCAGAACTTCCGAATTTCACAACGCATTTGGACTACATCGTTTTTGTTAGTCGCAGATGTGACTCGATTCCCCTTGTCACTCGTCAAGCTGACCTTGAACTTGTTTCATGAATATCCCTTCTTACTTTTTCATTCATCATCACGTCTTTTCCTCGGACTAAACTTTGCCCTCAGATCACGATTAGGCCTCGTGTGACAATTGCCATTCGCCGAAATCCTTTTCCGTCTGTTTTCCATGCGAAATATCCCTGCTGATATTTTATTGATCGTCACCGATGATCACGCCCGAGTTAATTTGAGCTCCCCATCATCTGCGTCTCCTCCTCCATCTCCGCTAATGGCCGAGTATTTTCGGCAACGTGACCGATGCGCTCCCGTCGCGCTCGAGCACCCTTGGCCGTTCAAGGACGCCGCCCCCCTGCCCGCGGTCGACGTTGTCGTGTGGGTTTTATTTCCGCACTGTTCACTCTGACGACGGTCGGCACGGCGCGCTCGTGTCCTTCAGTCACGATTCGCGTTTGGCCAAATGAGCCAAAAGTCGCGACCAAACAGAAGCGGTGGCCCAACGCGCAACCCCAAATGATTTGGAAACACTTCACATTTTTTTCAAGCGCTGTCTACACGCAGACTGCCCGAAACTGACTAGGCTAGGCCCTGGCACGCCCGCGACCCTCGTTGAAGGACATAGATGGATATTTTGTTTGGACATGTGAGACAATGTTTGATGGTTTGCACTTTCCGTGGGTGGCTCCCCCTACCATAAAGGGGCTTTGGCAGGTCCCTTCCAAGTTGGCCGTCGCTTGTCAATAAAGCCAAGCATTTTTTTTTTTTTTTGTGCAAGGCGGTCGTATGGCGGAAGGAAAAATCCTCTGCACTTTGGAACTCGATCCGGTTCCAGGCGGCGTCTAAAAGCGCCGGGGCGCCGTCTCCGATCTCGCGCTGACTCGGTCGCGTGTCACCGATACGTTGGCGCGTCCTCGCCGCCGCGTTTTGTCATCCGATCCGCTTGGAGAAAGTGCGCGTCACCTCCCGCTGCTTCTTCACACTTCTTGGGGATGATTAAAAAGAACCCCCCGCCCCCCCCAAACAAAGACTTATGAAGCCACTATGTGACACGGATCTTCATAAACATTCTTCATCCCGCCTTGCGAGATGGAATTTTAACTTTTTATGACGTTCAGAATAGATTCAAGCAGACCGGCGAGAGATTGAAAATGGAATATTAGATGACACGTCATGACTAAAAGATAGGACGGGACAATGGAGACACGCGTGAAGCTTCTCCAGTGTTGCCAACGCTTTTGGCGGACTCCTTCAAAAGGTTAGCACGCAGATGCTACGCTAAGATGAGCACGAGACGCTCACAGCTCAGTCAGCCGCAGGAATACTCGTCATTCTTGGCAGAGGATAAGGAATGTATGCATTGAGCTCAATAAAAGACACGGAAAAAAAAAATCAGTTCACATGACATTGTGACGAGATTTTTTTTTTCTCGTTATTTTCTGACATCACAGGTATTTGCATCTCCATTTTCACACGTCTATCAAAATGACACATGACAAACTAGCCTGTCCAAGTATGACGACTTGTTTTACACGAATGCTGATGTGTGTCTTTTAATCTCGGTCGATGGCAAAGTCTCGTGCGCCTCGTTTGGATGGACGACTCCAAGCGGCGGCCGTTAGCCTAAGCTTGGCTAAGCTAAGCGCTAATGGCCGCCTTTGTCCCAGCGTCCACCCCTCGCTCAAATGACTAATTGATGGCGGACAGACAAGCGACACCGTTTGTGCGGATCCCTTTCCAGTCCTCCGTCTTGCCGACAGGTCGCCCGCGCGCTGCTTTGCTCGTGTCTTATTCAGGTGCGTTTGACGGAGGCGCGGAAGCAGTCGGAGGGGACTATCGCGTCGATCGTCGGCGTCGTCGCTTCGCAAAATGGGACCAAAATTGTTTATGACGCAATCACAAGCGTGCGAGTCCTGACGTCATGATGACATCGATACGATGCTTTAGCTTCATGGTAAACGCACTCTTGTTCACATTATGACAGACAATTGTCCAAGGGTCAGGATATCACGATAAAAGTCGTTCACTATGATTTGAAAAACGAAAGACAAAATTGTGACCCAAAAAAAAAAAAAAAAAAAAAAGTACTTTTTCTTGAAAAAACAATGTTTGCTTGGTTCCCCGTTTTGGGGGTGCAGGCAAATTGTTTAAGATAAACACAGGTATGTTTTTGCAAAGGAAAAAAAAAAGGCATGTTTACTACCAAAAGTAACATTTTGGCCAAGGAATGATTAATTTGTGAAAATGTGCATTTGATCATCTTTAATTCAGTACAACAAATGATACGGCATTTAATTCAAAAGACAAGTTGTGACGAGTGGCTGTGGCAGGAGTTAAAACGACCATTTTAGCTTGACGTTTTTTTCTTGGCCCAAATCCATTTGCGTCAACCGCAAGCAGTCCTCCATGGCCTGCAGTTCCCGCACTTCGGGGCAGAGGGCGCCACAGTGGAGGGTGAGGAGGCGGCGCGCCTCCGGGATGACGGACAGGGCCGACGCTCTCGAGCCGCTGCGGGCAACGGGCCACACCGTCGGCACAAAAACAAAAGCGTCGTTTGAAAAGGAGGCGAGGGTCGACTCACGCGTTGAAGTGCAGCTGCGCCAGCTTGGCGACCTGTCGGGCCATCTCCACGCTGTCCGCTCCGAAGCGAGCCGCCACGGCGGCGGCGCTGCGCTCCAAGTGCTCGGCGGCGCGCGCCCAATCGCCTGCGCTCAAAATAAATAAAATTTAAAAAAAGTGGGACTGTGGCACTCAACTGGCCGGCCAAAGAGGAACGAATACGTTGAGGTATGTCGATGCAATACCTTTGTGCGCGTGCGCCCGGGCCAAGGCGTCCTCGGTGCGGCCACCCAGCTCGTGCGTGCGCGCCGGCGCCAC